TATATATATATATATATATATATATATATATATAAATATATGAAAAATTGATGTGGGTACTCAAATGAAAAGTCTCGATGAGTTTAACATTGGGATGAGCTTATATCTTTAAAAATGTCGATAGTTCACAAAATTTAAAGTCATTTCTTAATTATGTATCTAGCAAAATTTTTCTTATCCTCGTAATAATTAAGATTATCAAAAATAATTCTGATAGTTTTTTTAATGATGAAAATAAAATAAAAAATTTTATTTGAACGGAAGCTTAAAAATATTCTTATTAAAATAATAATCTAAAATAACGAAATTATAAAAAAAATTTCAGAGTGGATCAAAACTCGCACCAGTATCAGAAGCCGAAGTCCGTGCAGCATTTACAGCGCGACTAGGTATGCCATTAACAGGACAAATGTTACCTGGAACCCTGCCATTTTATCCATCACTAACCGTAATTGAGGGCGAGCCGTCATATATTCACAAACAAATGCAAAATTTGGAACAGCAAGGAAGCCGACAGCATACAGTATATCATAATTCCCCAATAACGGACACTCAAGTAGCTCACGCAAGACTTCATAAGGCTGGTCACCGGCCTTTAGGTAGTATGTTCACTCTTCATTCTCACCTTCGTACGTGTCAACTCTTGGAAGACAGAAAAGACCACTGAGACAGAGACACCACCAACCAACCAACCACAACAATAACTACTCTTATAATATTATTTAACTGCTCTTAAAATACTTCAAATCTTCCAAGACCCTACACCCGCGTAATCCAGTCTCTCCCTAAAATTACCGACGACTAACCCGACCGATCTCTGTCCAACAGGTAGAACACAGTCAGCACCACTACCTCTGGGCCACCCGATGCTCCAGGGCGGCATGATACCGCCCCCGGCGACTCACTACGAAGATTACCTCGCGGAGAAGCAGCTCCAAGAACAGCAGCAGGCTCACAACTATCTCAAGCAGCAAATCCGCCAGACAGTCCTGACCCGGGTGGTCTCACGCAGCGGAGGCGGCCAAGCCAACCAGCTCGAAGAAGCTCCCGAGTCCGAGGAGTCCGAAGTGATAGACCTCACGGGGAAGAAAGAAGTCCCGGAGGAAAGCGAGATCTCCAAGCAGCAGCGCGACCGCGAGCAATTCCTCCAGCAGCAGCGGGACCTTATGATGCGACATAACCTCCAGGGTAACGAGAGTCCGGCCTATGTCGCCAGCAGGAACTCCCAGTCCGCTCGTCCGCTCTCCAGAGCACTCTCCAGTCCACTTGTTCACCTAGGTATGACATCTTGATGTTATATCAAATTAATGATCGTAAATTTACTGCCGGATTTTCTTGATAAAAATGTAAATATTTAGTGTGTTTTTTACTGGGTGCTCTTTTAAATTTATAAATTTATTGTCTGGTATTTTATGACTTGATTAATTATAGCCAGTGATTATTATATGTAACAGGACCGCAGGGTACCAGTGGAGATGTGTTTGCAAGGGGATCTCCTCACCGACCCACCACCGGGCTGGCCTACGACCCGATGATGCTCAAACACGCGTGTGTCTGTGGAGAAACGGTTAGAGGTCATCCCGAACACGGGGGTCGTCTTCAGAGTGTTTGGGCTAGACTTTCTGAGACTGGGTTGCTACAACGCTGCGATCGTATTCGATCGCGAAAAGCTACTCTAGAAGAAATTCAAACCTGCCATAGTGAAGCTCATACACTTTTATTTGGTGAGATTTTTATTTTTTTTTTTTTTAGAAATTATGATATCAAATTAATTTATTTTTGGTTTCAATTTTTTTTTTTTTATTAATTGAAAATTTTTATGCTATTGAAGTCTTGCTCTTTAATTAATAAAAATAAATAGTCATAAAAATAAAAATATTTTTTTTTGTAAAATCAATATGTGGCTATATATATGGCCACATATTTAGTCATATATAGAGCGATATGAGTAAATATAAAACTCTATATGGCAATATGGGATATATGAAGCCATATATGGCCATATTAATCCATATATGGCCATTTCAGACTTCATTTGATCCGATAGAGGTTCCATAAAATAATTTTTTTTTTGTAAAATCAATATGAGGCCATATATGCGTGGCCATATGTATGTAGCCATATCTATGTGGTCATATATGGCCATATATATGGCCATACGAGTAAATATAAATCTATATATGGGTGATTCTTTGTAAGGCCATATGAATGTAGTCATATATGTGGTCATATATGGCCATATGAGTAAATATGAATCTATATATGGGTGATTCTCTGTAAGGACGTCTTAAATCTGTACAAAATTGTCCGACCAAATTATTTTTGATTTTATTAGAAAAAAAAATTAACAAGGGCTACAAAACTATCAGCTTAATCATAATAAATAAACAGCCGATTCAATTTTTGCTTTTTCGATATTTGGGTATCTTTTGCCATATAACATGACATGGGACTGTTTGCCAGGGGACTGTTTTTTTTTATCAAATTGAGAAAAATCAACCAAACTATTTAAATGCACTCAGCTTTTCAAGTTCTTAATGAATGTTTACATTAATTAGAATAATATTAAGACTTATGGATCAAATTTTATAAATAAATTATAAATAAAAATAGTTGCCAGGGGACTGAGTTTTGAAGTGGCCCAAACACATATTTCCAGCACAAACGGTGCTTTAACACTAAATAAAATGGCGATAAACCGCTAACAGCCCTATGGTTATTAACTCAAGGCTAGTTAGATCCTTATAAACCTTACAAAAGGTAAAATAACACGCTGGATTTTTTTTTTTGGCTCTGAACTTCTGCCAGGGGACTGTTCTTAAAATGCCTGGGACAAACTTTAGTTTAATGAATTTAATGAAACAAATTAATTTTCGGTACTTTTTATTGAAGAAGATTGTTAGTTAACTAATTAAGTTTATAAACATTATGGACCAAATTATATATTAAGGACGAATAACTTAAAATTTAATCTTAAAGTTTTAATTTTGGGAATGGGACAGCTCATGGGACTGTTATTTCGGTGGCTTACGAATTTATAGCAAAAAAACCAAAATTTATTTCATTTTAGTTTTCAATGCTCCAAATAGAAATGTTTTTTTACTTTCGTAATAAATTTTTTTTAGTAACAAAATAACAATTTTTCTAATAAAAAAATCCCTGGGACAGCAAAAAACATCCTTACAGAAAATCACCCATATGGCAAAATGAGATATATGAAGCCATATATGGCCATATGAGCATATATGAAGCTCTATGAAAAAAATTTTTTTTTTATTTTTTTAGTAAATTAATTAATTAGATTAGAGCAAAAAAAATTTTTTTTGTCTTTTTGGTCCTTAAGTAATTATAGAGAGCAAGTGAAACGATATCAAGAGACAATTGATTGTAAAAATTGTAAATAAATAATGAATATTAATAATTTTTCAGGTACAAATCCGCTAAACCGTCAAAAATTAGATCTATCAAAGCTATCACCGCTGCCAATTAAAAATTTCGTACGATTGCCGTGCGGTGGTGTGGGTGTTGACTCAGATACAACGTGGAACGACCTCCACACGGCACCCGCGGCGCGAATGGCTGTTGGTTGTGTTGTTGACTTGGCCTTCAAAGCAGCGATGGGTGACATAAAGAATGGGTTCGCTGTTGTCAGGCCGCCAGGTCATCATGCCGAGCCGAATCAGGCCATGGGCTTCTGTTTTTTTAATTCTGTAGCTATAGCTGCTAAACTTTTGCAACAAAAGTTGAATACCAGAAAAATTCTTATTTTAGACTGGGTAAATAATATTTAAAGTTGAATAAATTATTTATTTACTTACTTGAGCTTGTCAATTAATTATTAACAATCTATTTACAAATGTAGGACGTCCATCATGGCAATGGAACGCAGCAAATGTTTTACGACGACCCACGTGTACTTTACCTGTCAATCCACCGACACGACGACGGAAACTTCTTTCCTGGGACTGGAGGCTCGACAGAGTGTGGAGTGGGCGACGGACTCGGGTACAATGTCAATATTTCATGGTCAGGCATGCTGAATCCTCCCATGGGTGACGCTGAGTATCTAGCGGCCTTCAGAACCGTCGTGATGCCCATTGCTAAGGAGTTCAATCCGGACGTTGTTATTGTATCCGCGGGATTCGACGCCGCAACTGGACACCCGGCTCCTTTGGGCGGGTACAATGTTAGTCCATCGTGTTTTGGAAGAATGACGCAGTATTTGCTGGAGCTCGCTGACGGCAAAGTCATTCTTGCCTTAGAGGGTGGCTATGATCTCGCTGCCATTTGTGATTCTGCTCAGGAATGTGTCAGGGCGTTACTAGGAGATGAACCGACTCCGATTCGGGATGAAGAACTTACGAGGGTGCCCTGTCAAAATGCCATTGATACTCTACAGAAAACTATTGCTATTCAGGTGGATAATTTTGTCTTTGTTATTATAACCTGTGAAAAAATTTTATTATATGGCCATATATGGCCTGATATACGGATATGTAATTTTTTAATATGACCATATCTGTATTGATATGGAAATTGGCCATATTAGTATATGAAAAGCCATATATATATATATATGGCCATGTATGGCCATATAAGTATATATGAAACTATATATGGCAATATAAGATATATGAAGCCATATATGGCTATATGAACCATATCAGTATATACAAAACCATATCTTGCCATATATGGCCACATGACTATAGTTGAAGCTATATATGGCAATACGACATATGTGAAGTCATATAAGGCCATATCATTACATATGATATCATATATGGCCATATGAGTATACATGAAACTAAATATGAAGCTCTATATGGCCATATCAATATATATGAAGCCATATATGGCCATATGAGCCATATCAGTTTATATAAAGCCATATGTGGCCATATATATGGCCATATTAGATATATGAAGCCATATGTGGCGATATATGAGCCATATCAGTATATACAAAACTATATCTTGCCATAAATGGCCACATGACTATAGTTGAAGCCATATATGGCCATATGAGCCATATCAGTATATACAAAGCCATATATATTGCCATATAAGTATATATGAAACTATATATGGCAATATGAGATATATGAAGCCATATCATTACATATGAAGCCATATATGGCCATATTAATCTATATATGGCGATATCAGACTTCATCTGATCTAATATGGGTACATATGGCCTGATATGATGGTCATATATGGAAATTATTTATATAAAAACATCATATCATATACAGCCGTATATTTAAAAAAAATTTTTTCACAGAAATATTTATTAATTTAAAATTATTGATTGATAACGAGAAAGACAGTGAATTCTATAATTATAGAATGAATTTGATGAATAATTTATAAAACAAAATATTTTATAAATAGAAAAAAATCAATAGAAAATTAATATTAATTGAGTTCATGAGACATTAAGTCATTAAACAATAATCTCTGAAATTCAGATATCATTTTATATTTTATAATTGGTAGTAGGAGATTTCAAATTAATTATTTAATGTATGAATGGATTATTGGTTAATTTTTTAATTTTAAACGGGAAATAATAGTCTGGTACTTTCACACATAATTTAAGTTCATCAAGATCTATGAATATTTTCTTGATGTGATTTTCTGTTTAACAATTTATCAATTGTTACAGATGTCACACTGGCCTTGTGTAAAGTTAGCTGCTCATACAGTAGCAATGAGTGCTGTCCAAGCGAGCCAGAAAGAACATGATGAAACAGATACTGTGTCTGCAATGGCTTCACTATCAATGCAGCAGCCGACTAATTTAACGTAATTACTATTATTATTATAATTTTATTATAATAATAAATTAAAGATAAGTACTTATAAAATTTTTTCTTTAACTACAGAAAAACGCCCGAACATTCCCGTGAAGTTTCCGAAGAGCCAATGGAGCAGGATGAAACAAAGTAAATGATAGTGAAAAAAAAAAGTCATCAATGTTTTTATGAATTTTAATTGTTGATGGATCTTCAAATGAATTTAATTAGTTTATTGAGAGGAAAATTGTTTATTGATAGATAAAATTCAATAAGTTTAAATACCTGCCGTATTTTTACATAAATTGACAAAATACCAAATTTATTAAATTAATTAATTAATTAAATGAATTTTCTCATACCGGAGCCCTCCATATAAAAAAAAAATTTTTTCAATGGAGATTTATTGAAATTGAAGTTGTCACGGCTGGGCCGTAGTTTTTATTATATTATAAAAAAAAAATTGTTTGAGATTTGATAAAAAAAAGTTGATAATTTTTTTGTTAATTTTATCTTGGACAATATTTAAATAATCACGTTGTTTGAAAATATAAAATTATTATTTGTAAATATATCTTAATGATATAAAATATTATAAATAAGACAAGGTTTTGAGAACCCGTAATCTGTAAATAATTATATTTTTTTTTGTTTCATTTTATTTTTATTATAATTATAATTTTGCTTCAATTATTATTATTTTACACCGTTTTAATTATTAAATTCATATAGTTTATAATTATATAAATAATTAATTAGTTTATTTTAAATAACATATTAATTGTATGAGTGTCTTAAATAGACAACGAATCATTTATTGTAAATTGAATATTTTACTATTATTATATATTATAATAATAATTATTATAAATAAATATATAACACTTAAATTTATATTATGTAAATGATTCAACGAAGAATTCATAAATATCACGCCCAATGTTCTAATCAAGCCACTGTAATATTATTTTAAATAACGCTAAAAAAAATGTATGATAGTTAAATATGAACAAAACAATTAAATGTTACATTGTTAAATGTGTAACAGTAATTATGAGATGAAATAAAAAGACAATAGAGTTAGATAAAAATTTTTTCTCTCTATTAATCGAGAATTTGTGTGATTGCTGGTCAATAACACAATTACTTTTTTTTTTATGGTACTGCGCATTGAAATTATGTTTTATTGATTATTTTTTTTTATTTTTAATGTTGAAAAAAAAAATTTTTTATTATTGGAAATTTTAATTAAAATATTATTGTGATTATAAGTATATTAAAATATTTACTAGAAATAAATTGTAATATAAAATTAATATGAAAGTTGACTAATTAAAATCTTTTGTTGTAAAAATTTTGATTCGATATATTTTGTGAATATATATCTATGTTATTAAGAGAAAAATAAAAAATTTTGTTTTCTGGATAGTCATATGATAAAATCGGTTTTTCTAGAGACATTTAGTGTCATTGCAAAGGTCTTGACTTGAATTTGTGCCTTTTCAAGGTTTCATTTTATTCTCACTAGTAGTTCATTTATTATGATAAATACTTAGGCTGCATTCGAAAATGTTCTATCTCTAGATACATAATTAAGAAATTACCTTGTATCTTTTGAAGTATTGACATTTTTAACGATATAAGCTCATTCCGATGTTACACTCATTGAGACCTTTCATTTGAGTACCTACATCAATTTTTCATATATTTTAAATATTTATATATATATGTATATATGAAAAATATATCAAAATGCATGTGGGTACTCAAATGAAAGCTTTTGATGAGCGTAACATCGCGATGAGCTTATATCTTTAAAAACGTCAATATTTAAGAAAGTACAGTCCAATTTAACATAACAAAGAAATGACCTATTTTGTGAAATATTGATATTTTTTAAGATATAAGCTCATCCCGATGTTACACTAATCGAGACCTTTCATTTGAGTACCCACATCAGTTTTTCATATATTTTATATATTTATATATGTGTATATATGAAAAATATATCAAAATGCATGTGGGTATTCAAATGAAAGCGCTTGATGAGTGTAACATCGAGATGAGCTTATTTCTTTAAAAGCGTCAATATTTACAAAATACAGTGGAATTTAACAAGTCATTTTATAAAGCAAAATTTTAATTTTTTATAGTTCACAAGTCACGGCAGTCACATAGTGACTGCAAGGTTGCTAGTTTTTATTACAGGTCAACTTTCAAAAAAATTTTGTTATTTTTAAATATATCAATTGTAACATATATATATTTGATAATGATAAAATGAAGTAATTGAATTTCTAAAAAAAAAAAATTTATTAAACCATATTCTAAAAAAATTTATCTTTGGAAATAATTTTGAGCTGGCCAGTACAATCTGGTAAAATATACAAATAATAATATTAATTTTAAAATACTCAATATTATCTTAACTAATATATATAAATTAAAATAAAAAAAAAAAAAAATGTAATTGAAAAATGTACAGGGTACTGAGAAAACGATGCACGTTAGGGTGTAAAGATAAATTGCGCGTTTCCCATAAGAAGTAAAGATAATTGTAACTGTTAATATGTACATATTATTATCATTAATATTATTATTATAATTATTATCATTAAAAAAATTATTATAATTATCTTTATCACTATTATTAATTAAAAAAATTATCATTTAACATTTATCATTAATATTATTACAATTAAAATTATAATTATTATAAAAAAATAAATTATAATAAAATAATTATTGTATTATTATTTTATTTGTTAATTAAGCAAGTTTTTTTTTTTTTCTGGTGAACAAAGGCTGGTGCGATTTTTGTGATACATTGTAAAAAGTCAAGAAAATATAATCGCGAATGGGGGCGACAATTAAAGAAGAAATATATACATATAAAATATTTAATAAAAATATATATTATATTATCAAAATACAAGCATTTATTTTTGTGTCATGCATTTTATGAAAGCACAGATGATATATATATATAAAAAAAAATATATAATAAATAATTGAATTAAATAACATAAAAAAAAATATTTAAAAATTTTTTGACACATTAAGATGCATATAATATCTATTCAAAGTCATATATATATTTATATATATATATATATATATCAGTCCAATTTAACATAACAAAGAAATGACCTATTTTGTGAAATATTGATATTTTTTAAGATATAAGCTCATCCCGATGTTACACTAATCGAGACCTTTCATTTGAGTACCCACATCAGTTTTTCATATATTTTATATATTTATATATGTGTATATATGAAAAATATATCAAAATGCATGTGGGTATTCAAATGAAAGCGCTTGATGAGTGTAACATCGAGATGAGCTTATTTCTTTAAAAGCGTCAATATTTACAAAATACAGTGGAATTTAACAAGTCATTTTATAAAGCAAAATTTTAATTTTTTATAGTTCACAAGTCACGGCAGTCACATAGTGACTGCAAGGTTGCTAGTTTTTATTACAGGTCAACTTTCAAAAAAATTTTGTTATTTTTAAATATATCAATTGTAACATATATATATTTGATAATGATAAAATGAAGTAATTGAATTTCTAAAAAAAAAAAATTTATTAAACCATATTCTAAAAAAATTTATCTTTGGAAATAATTTTGAGCTGGCCAGTACAATCTGGTAAAATATACAAATAATAATATTAATTTTAAAATACTCAATATTATCTTAACTAATATATATAAATTAAAATAAAAAAAAAAAAAAAATGTAATTGAAAAATGTACAGGGTACTGAGAAAACGATGCACGTTAGGGTGTAAAGATAAATTGCGCGTTTCCCATAAGAAGTAAAGATAATTGTAACTGTTAATATGTACATATTATTATCATTAATATTATTATTATAATTATTATCATTAAAAAAATTATTATAATTATCTTTATCACTATTATTAATTAAAAAAATTATCATTTAACATTTATCATTAATATTATTACAATTAAAATTATAATTATTATAAAAAAATAAATTATAATAAAATAATTATTGTATTATTATTTTATTTGTTAATTAAGCAAGTTTTTTTTTTTTTTCTGGTGAACAAAGGCTGGTGCGATTTTTGTGATACATTGTAAAAAGTCAAGAAAATATAATCGCGAATGGGGGCGACAATTAAAGAAGAAATATATACATATAAAATATTTAATAAAAATATATATTATATTATCAAAATACAAGCATTTATTTTTGTGTCATGCATTTTATGAAAGCACAGATGATATATATATATAAAAAAAAATATATAATAAATAATTGAATTAAATACATAAAAAAAAAATATTTAAAAATTTTTTGACACATTAAGATGCATATAATATCTATTCAAAGTCATATATATATTTATATATATATATATATATATGATTATGTCATCCACTGTAATTGAATGGTGGGTGTAGCACGAGAATCTCAAGTAATTAATAATTGTTGTATGTTGCCCTTATTATTAAATGTATCTTTAAAAAAAAAAAAAAAAATACGTCACAAGTGAAGCTAAAAAATGTTCGTTATATAATTATAAATAATATAAGTATGTAAGCCCAGTCTATGTGAGCAAATATATATAAATAAATATTATATAAAAAAATGATAAATATATATAATTATGATTATTTACACAATGGTAAGCACATCTTTAAGGATGTTACACTTTAATTATTGATTATTGATAAATATATAAATTATTTTATCGCAATGTTATTAAGGTACGATAAATCCATTTTTTTATTACTATTAAATTATTTATTATAATCATAATTATTCATTAAATTTTTTTATATAAATAAATAAAATTATTTTAGGTCAAATATTTATTCAGCCATGTAAAATTAAATTTTTAGAGAAGAAATATTAAATTTTAAGTGGTTTGAATATATCCTAAAGAGCTTGGCCTAAATTTTTCGCTGTTAATAATAATAATAATAAACAGGTATTTTTATTATTTTCATATAAATTTGTTGTTATGTTTTATTAGTATTGATATATTATGTATAATCTTTTAAAGAAGAAATAATTATTAAAATGCGAGATAAGCGACAGATACTTATTACATTCCGGTATCGTTTATTGTTTAAGTTAATAAATAATAATAATTATTATTATTATTATTAATATT